GTCCCCCCTATTTTTTTATTTGTTTCTTTTTACCATTTTCCCTGATTTGATTTCCTCCTTGTTGAACCTGATTCAGAAGCATATATTTGACTAAAGTTTGGTTGCAATTAGTTTAAAAATTGTTGGATGTGTTCTCAATTTAAAGTAATATAATAATTGGTTGAGTAGCGGTTTTAAAACCCAACTGAAGCAGCAGCAACAACAACAACAACAAGTCTTTATCCCATTAAATGGTGGATAACAATATGATTAAAATTTTATCATTTGTGAACTGATATGATTTTTATTATGCAACCAACCTAAAATACTTGAGTTTTGTATAGATGGAAACCTAAGAATGAACTTTATTTAGCAACAATACTTCATCATAGTTAAATAACACACAGAGACTTGAATTATTTTCATAATTTCAGCTAATTATATTTGTGGAACAGGGTGCATCACTCTGGAAGAGCTAGCCACTGTCACCCAATCCCTGGGCCAGAGTCCAACTGAGGAAGAACTGCAGGACATGATTAATGAAGTTGATTTCAATGGGAATGGAACTATTGAATTTGGGGAGTTCTTGACTCTAATGGCCAAAAAACTGAAGGTCATTAAATGAAAGATACATTTATTACTTTTTAGTATTAGGAGGAATAGCTTCTTATTCTTTTGCCTTAAATTTATATATTTTTCCAAAGCTAACATATCATGTTTTCTGGTTTTGCAGGAAACAGATGCTGAAGAAGAATTGAAGGAGGCATTCAAGGTTTTTGATAAGGATCAGAATGGTTACATTTCAGCTAGTGAGGTATGAGCTATTTACTATTAGTGATTTTGCTACCTCAGATTTTTTGTTTTTGTTTTTTTTAAAACAAACTGTTTCTTTCTGTCTGTAGCTGAGGAATGTGATGATCAATCTTGGAGAGAAATTGACTGATGAAGAAGTGGATCAGATGATCAGAGAGGCTGATATGGATGGTGATGGTCAGGTGAACTATGAGGAGTTCGTCCGAATGATGATGGCCGTCTGATTTGATGGATGAGTTCAATCTCAAGAAGTTTGTTTTGATAGATCTCATTTTCAAAATTGTTTTTTTAACCATGAAGATTCCTTCAAGCTTTTGTTTTGCTGTTCTTATTATGTGGATATAGCTGTATTTGGTTGATGTCTTTAACTTGTGCATTAATTACAAATTAAGCCCTCAGAAAACTTAGAAAGATGAGATTACAGCATATTTTAGCTGTAAGGAGTACTGGCTCAAGGAACAGAATGTTTTAATAATGCTCACATATTATGTCAACAATTTCTAAACAATCAAATTGATATGATTAATGGAGGAGATTTGGGCGAAATTTGGAATGCCAAATGCTTGTTATATATTGCGCCGAAACCAAATTTGAAATTGGCTTGAAACTAAGTGTAAGAATCATCTGTTGACTTGAAACATGATGTTTGGATATAGTTTGTTACCTTTTATAGTAATTGTAATTGCAAAGTATCATATTTAATATTTGTTTCACATTTTTGCAAATTTATTGTAGCAGAGAAGTGGGCCAGTCCTCAAACGTCAGAGGTGGAGCACCGGAAGATTTTCTTACTAAAAATAACACCCAATTCATGTGTATTTAATACACCTTTTAATACATTAATAATATATATATATATATATTCAAGAATGCTGCTCTTCATATGTGAGATTAGTCCCCGTAGAGATCAAACTCAGGTCAGATGGGTCTTACGACTGACAATGCAGCTGCCTACCAATTTGTCACCCAAATCACACACACACACATATATAAAAGAATGGTCAAAGGCTATTATTTTAGCCCCCAACCACCCTCATGTGTCTAATTATTCGAGGACCGCCCCCACTATCGACAAATTGATAGAAGGGGATTTGAATCCGTGACTTGAGGAGACTTACGACCTTCAAAGAGGTTGCTCTACTTATAGGCCACAACTGATGACACACACAGACACGAACACACACACACACACACACACCTATATATAAAATAACAAATTTTCATCGTATGTCACAAATCTCGAGGCAACCTTTTGGGCAAAAATATTCAAACATAGATAAAAGTCACACAGAACTGTAATTTTAGTAAACTTATAGTCGAACTGACCGGCTCAACGAGATGGACCGAATGATATCAAAATTAGTTCAATTTGCGTCAAATCAAGCTCAAATCAAGTCATTAAATCAATTTTAGACTTTTTTTCATACATATTTAGAAGGTCAAACGAATGTCAAATCAAGTAGGCCTATAGTCGAATTGAGTGACGAATCCAGCAAGCCCAAGATTGCTCAATTCCAATTTTTTTAAGGCACTCAAATGTTTATCAAATGTTGTCTGATCGAATGAAGTTTTCCAGACCGTCCGATCAAAGTGGTCCATATTCATCCAGAACACTATAAATAGAGACTCATTCCTCTCATGAGAGAGATGAGAGTTTGACATCTTAGGAAGAGTTTGAAGCTAAGAGTTTGAAGCTTTGAGAAGGAGCTAAAGTCCAGCACCACCATCGTCGACCGTTGTCACCCACCAAAGATCTCCGTCTACCTCCGTCGACCGTCATCGACTTTCTTCGATCGTCGCCGACCACTGTTGACCACCACCGACCTCAGCCGACAATCGTCCATCGTCGTCGATTACCACCGATTGACACTGATCGCAACCAACCACCATCGACTACCACCAACCGGACTCCACCAATTGCTAACCATCACCGCCCTTTCCAAGTAACAAATCCATTAACACGTTGAAGTTATAACTTGAGAATCATAATAATTTTTTCTCATTGTGAGACAAGTCGTTGTAATTGTAATTATCTTTTTATAGTGAAATTTTTCAGTTGTGTCAGACCCGTGATTTTTTTTTTCTTTTTAAGAAATTTTTGGTGTCATTATTAGTTGTTTTCTCTTTTTTGAGTATGTGTTGAATCTTCGTACCATGGTATGATGATAATATGAGTTGTAAGTCTTCTCTGGTCTGGGGTTCGAATCCCTCCGAGCGTAAGGTGTGGTACTCGAATTATTAGGCGCATTAGGGATGATTGGAGCTCGTGTGTGTGTGTGTGTGTGTATTAGAATATATATATATATTGATACGCCACCAAAAAATTATCTTAATCATGCATGAATCTTGATGCATATTGGGATTGAGAGTTGCAAGTATTTAATTATCTATACTCGAACTCAAATGAAATGTCTTGATAAGACGAGTTAGCTAACATCAAACATAGTTCGATAAGTTTCCAAATGAACCTAGATCATGCACTTAAAACATAGTAAGAATCTTTAAGATATATTTTGAGGGATCAAACGATCTTTGAATCTGATAAATTTATAGCAAAATTCTTCTTAACGAGATGAATCCAATAACCCCAATATCACTTAATTGTAATATCATTAAGATACCTAATTCACATAAAACTTCATTTTATCAAAGGAAATATTTCACGACATCTAACGGTGTGGTCATGATTCTAGTAGTATTTAAGGAAGACGTCACTTCCATAATGTATAAATAGAGCTTCGCTCTCTTCATGTCTTCATGAGGGAGGGGGAGGAGAAGGTTGAAGGAGCTTCAAGTGCTTGAGGGTTCCCGAGCCCCACCACCACAAAGCCATCGTTGTCTAGTTGCGACCATCGTTGATCCACTGCTACCCGACCTCCACCATTGTCGAGTTGTTGTCATTGTCATACCACCCCCACCGGACTAGTATTGCCTGATCACCATTGGTGTTGCCACTAAATCGGGCCACCATTGCTGCCCAACAACTATCATAAAGGCACTGGCCATTAAACTATTTTCACCACCATCAACCATCATCATCGACGAACTACTATTTCTCAAACAACACCGTCGCCATTCTGGGGCCAACATAGTTAGGCTACCACCACCGGGCCACGGTTGTCTGCCAAACACTGTCCATGCCTTCCGACCACTGTCATTGAGCGACAATCATTGTTGGACTACCATTGCCCGACCACCGCTATTGCGACCATCAAAACACAGTTGAATGGAATATAGAGAATAATTTCTAAGTTTATAGGGGCTTGAAATCAATTAGAAATTAAACCACACCTCAAAAGAAGTGGATCGCACAAAATTCAAGAAAACCAGAACAAACTCTAAATTGAAGCATAGTCAAAGCAACTAGAAAAACACACAAGGATTTTATATAGAAAAAAAATCACGGGGTCACACCACCAGAAAATTTTACTATGAAATTCAGAAATTTTTTACAAAGAACTAACATTAGTTTCGTCTCTACACACGAGAAAACTTACAGTATTTGCTCCACAATCTTTATTCTCATATGTAACACAAAAAACAAATGTCGAGATCACAGAAATCCTCAGCTCTGACACTTCTCTCATTCACCAGGAACTTGACAAAGAACATCAAAAGAAGACAACAACCAACACTGCTCAAAATTTGGCCTTTAAACAAAAAAACTGAGACCAATCGCTCCATGGATTGAGCGCTTAAGTTGGGTGTTTATGAGCCCAAAGGTTGGCGCCTATTCACCAACTTTACTGTACACCCACACATAAAGTGGTGCATATGCCTATGCATCGGCTCCTCTGTGAGGAGCGCCCACAACCAGATGCAAAGGAAATGGGTGCTCTTGGTGTTTCGACTTTGCCCAAACTAATAACCACATTTGGTATTCAACACCAACAAACCACCGCTGTCAGGTCGCTACTATCAACGACGCTAGCATTAAATTTTCTAGCACATGACCTCTATCATTGTCTTTCTTCACATCAACTTGATCTCTCTCACTTACCCAACTTATTCCACCACTCCCCTAAAGGAAGTTACATTTATAGGCCCCACTTGTGTGATATTGCTTCCACCAATTCACTGGCCAAAAAAATCTTGTAGCCTACAAATATATAGTAGAATCATTTCAACTGAGCTGGGTCTCATGGTTCTACCCTTTCATTTTTTAAAGTTAAATTAATTTTGCAATAGAGTCAAATTTATTTGAATCTTTCCGTCGATTAAATCAATTTCATATGTGATATAAATTTAGAGTCTATTTGGGACAACTTTTTGGTTGTTTTGTTTTTCATACTGTCACCTTAGTTCTGTTTGGGAATTTATTTTTTTACTGATTTATAGAAATTTTTACGATAGAAAATTGCTTCTTTCAAACTCACATGTTAAAGTGTGGTGGCTACTAGAAAGCTGTGATATAACTTTTTGAAATTAAAATCAATTTGTAAAAGTCACTGCAGTATTTTGAACAGTAACTTCTCTGCAACAATTTTACAACTGCTTCTTCAAGCAGCTGCAACTGCCCAAAAAAAGACCCTTAACTTGATAATTCAATCATGACTGATTTAAATTATTAGATGTGTGTAGAAAATATTTATAGTAAAAAATTAAACATATTTCAAATAGTTTTGTTTTGAGATTTTTTTTAATACACTTGTAATAAAAAAAATTTATCTAATTCATTCATTAAATTCTAATGTGAAGTGAAACTCTTATAAATTTTGGCATAAAATTATTATTAACAAAATGCATATAATTAAATATTTCAAAAATTAATGAAATATTATCTATAATTAAGATTAACTAATTAGAATTGGGTATTAGTAAATTGAAAACAAAAAGCAGCGAAGCATCAATAATCATAAAGTTGTATGTAATATAACAACAACTAATAAACTTGAAAATGACTAATGGCATAAATGAAAATGCTTTCAAAATATGATACATCTCATCAATTTTATTGATGTGTCATCCATAAATTTTATCATTTTATACAAATCTTGAGATATTTGGCAGAAATCTAGAGTCATTTTTTGAATGAGAAATGTTATGATTCAAATTGAAATTAATTTATAGCTCCGATTTCTAAGATGCTAAAATCATTCAAATTCGAGCCTAATCAAGCCACAAGATCCATTTGAAAATGCACCCTCTCCCTCGGGTCTATAGATAGAACATACTCAGTTGAAGAGGACAAGGAGGAGCATAATTCTAGTGTTCTTAGAGAATGAAGACCTAACAATAATTTGTGACCTTTGTAGCCATTGAACATCTTTTACTTCTAACTATCAATTGTTGTCAACTATCTCCGGCTTCCCCCTACTCATCACCGTCGGTGAACATTGTGGTATAAGGAAGTACCCGAACATAGTATAACGAAGTACCTCAAATACGGTATAATGAAGTATCCCAAATATAATGTAATAAAGTACTCTTACTACAACATAATGAAGTATCCAAAACAAGGCATAATGAAGTACCTTTAACACGACATAATGAAGTACCATGAACACGACGTAACGGAATATCCCAAACACAGTGTAACAAATACCATAAACACGATGCAACGAATTACCTCGAACATGGTGGAATTAAATACCTCGAACACGTCATAACAGAGTACCCCAAACAACGCACAACAAAGTACTACGAACACAGTACAACAAAGTACCCCGAATATGATGTAATAAAGTATCATGAGTACTATGCAATGATGTATTCCTGATATAGTGCATTAAAGACCCAACGATAACTCTCGAAGATAATTACTTACGACCGTCGTACTTTGACTACAATGACATTCTCCATATTTCTGAAAATCTCTCTTTATATATTATATACCAACAAACACCGTCTCTGGTGTAATAGTAAACCTGGGAAAAATGGTTACAACCACCAACCGGTTTAGCACTATGACATTTAGGGTCAACTGACACTGTTACAGCTCCCAACTATAACCTTTGTGGCCAACTAACACTCTTGTAGTTTGCCACTACAGCCTATGCGGTGATTTACAAATATAATTTCTCATTGCAACCTATGTGTTACTAATGTAATTTCTCATATGACCTATGTGGCTTCCCACTATGACCTATGTGGCTAAATGTTGTCATTGTAAACTTATACTCTTGCAGTGACCTACTACGACCAATTTGGTCAATTACTACTATAGTTTCCCACAGCAGCCTACGTGACAAACAATTGTCATTAAATTTCTACTACAACTTCTGTGGCCAACTGTTCTTTTGCAGCGGCCCCCTTACGGCCTATGTGACCAATTACTTTAGTAGCTTCCCACTACGGCCTATTTGGCCAATTACTACAATAGCTTCCCATCACGCTCAATATGACCGACTAACGCTATCACAACTACCAATTATGACCTATGCGATCAATTACCATTCAACTTCTCATTACGATCTTTGTGGTCGACTAACGCTCTTGCAGCTATCAGCTATGACATATGTGGTTATTTACTATTACAAATTCCAACTATGTGGAGTTTATGATCAATTGAAGCTATTGAAGCTCTCTACTATAACATATATGACCACTCATGGCCTAAGCAACTCTCCGATATTGTAGCTTTCAACTATGATCTTTGTGCCTAAATGACTCTATTGCAACTCTCCGCCACGGCTTATATGCGACCCAAGTGGTAAATTACTACTGCAACTTCCAATATAGCCAACTTTAGAACTGGATTTGAATCAACGAACAACGCAGAATCCAACTACAGCAAGCACAAGTTGGTTTATCCACAAAGATAACAGTAATGATCACAATTTTCCGCACACAAGCACACAGGTTATTTCAGCCACAAATAAGATACAATATCAGTGGCAATTTATTATTGGATTTGAGCGGCCTGAAGCCTCGTCTCAAGCATGAACAGGTTCTTGGAGTTTAGTATCCTCCTCAGAAGCTTTACCGTCGTAGTATTCAGACAGAACTTGCCACCCGCCAGGGCACATGAAACCTTCTGGTGGGCTTTCTCTGTTCTTTGCCAGATTTCGCATCTGAAGTAAATAGTTTGAGTTAGTATTGGTTTTTACTGAATCGGATTTATGGGAGAGGGGATAAAGAAGGCACACCTTGGTGCCTGAAATAAAGATGAAATCTTGGGACCTGGAGGGGTCAAAGAAAGCCATTTTTCCCTGAGTCTTGTCATAAGCGGCAACCTTGATTCAAAATATATATATATACTGTGATAAGTAAGAAAGATGATTTCTTTAATCCTTCCAGCTTAAATGGTAATTAGAAATTGCATACCTTGAATGGTAGGATGTTGAGTTTATGGAGACCGGGGGCTAAGCCAAGTACTTTCTTCCCATGATCGGCATTGTAGAGGTCCCTCTTCTCAATGGGGTGGCTCATGCCGGCAGGATCTCTGCCAACAATATAGAAATTTGCGCCAGCATTTATCCGAGATTTCGCATGCCACTGCACCTCAGTTGGGCCTGCATAAAGCATGGGAGATGGAAATATTGCAACAACTGTAGTCTCAGGATCAAGCACACCTTCCTCAAGTACCTGTAGTTGGAATATTAGCGTAGGATGGAAGATCGCTAATCATTTATAAATACTCCATAACTTGAAATTCACTAACCTTCTCATGTTGCTTCATCCTCCAAATAAGAGGAACATCGTCTGCTTTAGTGTAGCCTCCCAAGGGATGAAGAAGCAAGATTGGATTTTTATAGCCCATCTCCAGAAGACGCCTTCGAGTGTCGTTCATGAGCAATGCGTGGCCATTGTGGACAGGATTTCGGAGCTGAAATGCAAACACGGCATCCGCATTGCGCCTCGTAAATTCTTTGCGTAGATCTGCAGGCGAAAGACGATATTTATCAAGGCCATCGTTGTACTTAATTGGCTCAATAACTGACAGATCTCCCCCAATCAACCAGTTTCCAGCTTTGCTGATGGCATCCTCAACATAAGGAAGACCTGGGGCAGTTGTTCCCCAGGTTCTAGCGATTCGTTCTTCTTTGTTATGCTTGTAAATTTCAATACTGAAATAATAAAGAAAACATGGAATCATAGGTCAAGGATGAAGTTTGTTTGAGGATGGATGTGAATCGATGATGAGTAATGCATAAAAATAGAGTTATGTTGGCAAGATAATGGTGCAAAATTGAAGTTTGGATTCAAAGGGGGATGAAAGACGATACTACTTTTGAGGGAAGTTGGTGTCTCAATCTGCTAAACTAAGAAATCAAGTACAGGTGAGAAAAAAGGAATTAAATAGTGAAATCTGAAGTTCAGGAAGGAAATTGAGGAAATAAAACCGAAACTACTTTAGGTTAGGGGAACAAAACCTATGTGCAGAACCATCTACCAATAAGTAGCAATAAAGAGATCAAGCAGCACAATAATACATGTAAGATTTGTAATGTTCAGCAAAAACAATAGCCTGCATTCAAAACAAAGAATAATCTATTACATAGAAGCCACACAGGCGTATAAATAAAAGAAGCACACAAAAAATAAACATAAAGGAAGCCAATTAACCATTCTCATTAAAAAAGACTCAACTCTCATAAGAGAAAAAAAGGAAAAAATACGAGAGTTAACAAGCAAAACTAACATTGCATTTTTTCAAACGTGGGTAGTTTAGAAAAGTCATTGGCGAAGTAAAACTTCCTTATTCCCTAATAAGAGTTATGCTAATCATGCTTCTTCTTGTAACATTCCACACCACGTCTTAAGTCTGCATTTATCAGCTAAACCAGTTGAAATTTCTTCAGAAGATGCTCAGCAAACAGGTACCTCAACAGTCTAGAAACGAAGAGCAAGATAACAAAATTAAGGAGAAAACGATAACAAAATTAAGGAGAAAACCAAAAAGAAATGCTAGCTCTAATACCAAAAGCCACGCATGTTGCATAACTAGAAAATTTCAAGGGCAAATAAATCTTATGTTTTAGCTCAGTATAATTTTTCAACATACAGATAAATGTGTAAGAGATAATATTTTTTTTTTTGGTGAAAAATCTCCGGAAAAGACAATCACGGGACCTGACCCAATCATTATAATCTAGTAAGAAATGGAAAGTAAAAATACCACTCTTCTTCTGAATCAGAAAAAATGGGATTACAAAAACTGAAAATAACAGTTTTATGATAATAGTTTAACCACAACAATCATAATTGGGCTACAAGAATTGTAATTGTTGACTACCACTAGTTTCCTCATCTCTGACACTTCTAATTGTTGACTACCACTAGAAAAATGTTGCATAACTAGAAAATTTCAAGGGCAAATAAATCTTATGTTTTAGCTCAGTATAATTTTTCAACAAACAGATAAATGTGTAAGAGAATATTTTTTTTTGGTGAAAAATCTTCGGAAAAGACAATCACAGGACCTGACCCAATCATTATAATCTAGTAAGAAATGGAAAGTAAAAATACCACTCTTCTTCTGAATCAGAAAAAATGGGATTACAAAAACTGAAAATAACAGTTTTATGATAATAGTTTAACCACAACAATCATAATTGGGCTACAAGAATTGTAATTGTTGACTAAGATAGTAGTAGTGTTATTATGTGGAGCTTGATTGTGTTGATTGAAGAAGAAGGAAAAACATAGGATTTGAAGCTAAGTCAGAAGAAAAGATAAGTAACTCAAAAAAGAATTTTTTTATTCATCTTGTATATCTTACAATTACAAAGACCCCTTATTTATACTGTTTAATACAAGGGTAAAACCGGAAGTCCATTGATACATAACATAAAGGTAAAGGAAGCCAGCCCTAGGTTAAATTGAGTGCTGAGAGTGAGAATGAGAGAGTGAATTGTTGTGGAAGAATTTCCCGTTATTAGGATATCATCAACATAAACGAGAAGGTAGGTTTTGGTGTTGTGTTGATGATTGATTAATAAAGAGGGGTCGGAAGTGCTTAAAATGAAGTTTTTTGTTCTGAGGAACTGATAAAAGGTTGAATATCATTGCCCGGGTGCTTGTTTTTAGACCATATCAGGTTTTATTGAGTTTGTAAACGTGGTGAGGGTATTGTGTGTCAATGAAGCCAAGTGGTTGTTTCATGTAAACGATGTCATCAAGTTTACCATGAAAGAATCTATTGGAAACATCAAGTTCTTGAATGTCACATTTTTCATGAACAACTATAGTAATAAGCATTCTGATAGTGGGAAACATGGCGACATGACTGAAGGTTTCATGATAGTCGATACCATGTTCTTGAGAACAGAAATGGGCCACAAGGCGAGCCTTGTGTCTGGCGATGGAACCATCAGTGTGGTATTTTGTTTTAAAAGGTCACTTGCATCCCAGTATGTGTTGGTTGGAGTGGGGGAGTGTGAGAGACCAAGTGCCTTGGTGTTGGTGTTGTAAGGAAAGAAATTCATCGAACATGGCCTTTCGCTAGTGGGGTTGATTCATGAGATGCATATTAAGTGGGGGTTGAGGGTAAAGATTGTATTGGGTTTACGTATTATGTGGGGTAAGCATAGAGGAAATGGGAGGAGATGGTTCGGGTTGAGTTGAGGGTGGAGGGTATTCGGTGCGGGTTGAGAGGAGTGGTAGTGAAACAGATGAAGGGGGAGGAATAGTTTGAAGAATTGGGTTAGATGAAGAGGTAGATGGTGTGAGGGATGGATGCGAGGGATCTAAGGTGGGTGTGCGTATCATGAGTAGTGGTGGTTGTTGCTGAGGTACAGAGTTTATAAAGTGTGGAGCAGTGGTTTATTGGTAAGGAAAAGAGGTCTCGAGGAAGGAAACATGCCGAAATATTATAAATTTTTTTGTGGAAATATCGAGGCACTTATAACCTTCGTGATTGTGGTTGTAACAAAAAAACTATAGGTGGGAGCCTTAGGGCTGAATTTGTGGAGAGCGAGTGGTTGATGCCAGAGAAAACTGACACATCCAAAAGTTTTAAGGTGTTGATATTGCGGTATGGAATGGTAAATAAGCTGAAATGGTGATTTGTTTTGACTTGTGGGAGAAGGGAGCCTATTAATGAGGTAGTCTGCAGTTAGGATAGCTTCTATCCAGAAATTTGGGGGGAGATGTGCAATGTTGAGAAGTGTTCGAGCGGTTTCAACTAAGTGCTAGTTTTTACGTTTTGCAATCTCATGTTGTTCGGGAGTGTAAGGACAACTAAAATGAAGTGAAATGTCATGGTTTTGTAAGTACGTGAGAAGATTTTGAGATTTATATTCACCACAGCCGTTTAAGCGGAGTTATTTAATTTTTTTATTGTGGTGAGTTTGTACTTGTTGATGCAATGTTATAAAATGTTGAGTGACCTCATATTTGTGTCGCAAGGGAATGCACCAGCAAAAACGTGAACAAACATCTACAAAAGTGACATAAGAGTATATTATATCTTTCAATAGAGGGGTAAGAAAATGAGCCTCAAACATAAGAGTATATTATATAAAAAAAAACATTATTTGTATCACTGGAGGTAAGCTACAGTTTATGAATTTTATTATTTAGATAATCTTGACATGTAATGAAAGTTGAGGGAATCTTTAAATATGAATTATGTTTTGACATGAGAGACATAATCTTGTGACGAGGGTGACCGAGACGCTGATTCATGTTTGAGAGGAGTCTGGGGAGTGATATATTGCAATTGTGTGGTAAAGTCCTTGTTTAGTTGGACCAGTCAGAAGAAGTTTCTTGGTTTTGTTGTCCTGAATGTAGAAGCTGTTAGCATAAAAAATAACCTGACATGCATTATCTTTAGCAAGCTTTTGAACATAACAAAATATTATGGAAAGAGAAGAAACGCGTAAGAGAGGAGATAAAATGAGCTTGCTGTCCGGAGTGGAGAGACTCCCCTTATTGGTGTGAGAAATTTCTGTGGATTGGTTGTTGCCGACCACGATAGGGAACAGGGTGTTGAAGATGTTGGATGTGGGGAGTTATGTGAGCCATCGCACCTGTATCCAGGATCCATTCTTGAAGGGAGGTTGGATGTCAGTGTGAACAACTGTGGTTGTAGATGGGGTTGGTGGTTTGTATTGTAGATTAACACTGTGCTAACATTGGGCGGCGGAGTGCCCTTTATTGTAACATATTTGAGATGGATGGTATGTTTATGTTTTATATTTTGTTTGAACTGCTGAGAACAGTTGTTGGTAACCTGCTTTTGAAAGTTGCGTTGATGGTTTTGAGTACCTTTGTTTTTTAATGTAAGAAGTGCTGACGGTTGGGAGATATTGCTGGCTTTGATAGTGAGATATTATTGCATGGTGTTGGTTCCCATCGATATTTGATGAAGCTCGTTCTTGAGTTGAATCACCCTTGAGCGATTGGTTGACTGAAAATGATTTTCTAAGGAAATCCAGATGACGGCAGTGCTTTGAAGGTGAATGATATATGATGTGATGGGATTGGAAATGGTAGACATGAGGGCTGCCACAAGGTTGTGATCCACTAATTGCCAAAGAACACTGTTTTTTCAGTGTGAGTGTAGTGTTTTCTAAATTTTAAGAAAAATTTTCTACGATGTGTATGTTTATTCTCTAGTGTGAGGAGTGGAGTGTGAATGTCCTTGTGTGTTTTAAGTGCGAAGAAGTGTGAGTGTAGTGTAATTTGTACTATTTCCATCATTTTTGCTTTACAGTGGTAATCTTGGCATGTTAATGATCGGTGTTTTTTTCACTTCTTAGGTTTTTTCAAGTTAAATCTGATATTAATTTTATGTGTTTTCTTTATGCATTTTTATTCAAAATTTTGCTTTGGATTTCTCAATTTGGTTTCCACACTTTACATCTAACAACAAGTATGTTATTTTGACCCCCAATTATTGAACTAAGGTAAAAGGGCACTTTTGTAATGTGACACCGCTCACCTACGACATCGCACCTACCGCTCACCTACCTCTCTGTAATGTTGTATCACTCCCCTACCACATCTCACCTACCTCCCACCTATCACTCTCTTGCTTCTATAAATAGAGAGGGTGTGAGGTTTAGGAGAGCAAGTGAATAGATTTTAAGCTACCACAAAGGAGGAGAGAATAGCTAGAAAG